GAAAGCTGCGCGTGGAGGCTGCTCGTGATCGGGGACTCGCGATGGCTCGCCGGAATGGCTGGGCTGCAGCGAGGGTCGCGGACAGAGGTGGTCTTGTCGCAGCGGAAGTTCGCGGCCTTGCTCGTGGGAGGAAACAGGCTGGCCGAAAACCGCAAACACAGGGGTCGCCGGACTTGCTTCTGTGTGTTGGCCATGATAACGTCGGGACTGATGGTCGCGGACGTCGGAGGAGAGCAGGTCGCCGGATTTCGAGCGTGAGAGGTGATGAGGGTGGGACGATGACGTGAGGGATAGTGAAGATGATGATCGGAATTAATTTTGCTGAGGGATTGCGAGTCGGCGATCGCGCGTGAGAAGAAGACAGGCGAGAGCTTTGACGAGAATTTGAGATCGGGAAAAGATAGTAAAAGGTTGCGGCGTGTTTTNTATATATATATATATATAAACCTAAGTTTTCCTTTTCTCTCTTGTCCTCCAAACACACACGTGCTTAAAATGGAAGGAAAACCGGATCGGGTCAGTCCTGTTCGGCTGGGCTGAGGTGAGCGGGTCTTCGGGCCGGTCTCTCGGCTTTAACGGGCCGATACTACTTGGGCAAAAAGGCCAGAATATTTAGCTCTTGGGCTGAAAATAATAAGGCTCGATTTATCGGTCTATTTAGCCAAAATACTATGGCTCGTTTCGCTCGATAATTTAAAATATTTCGGCTATTATAATAAAATATATTACACACATTAATAATAATAATAACACACATCAAGCATTTATTAGACAATTAGGCACTTAAATAAAATAATAATAACAATAATAAAAATAATAATAATAATAATAATAACAATAGCAATAATATTAATTAAAAATTCCAAATATTCCATAAACGAACGGGGCGCTACATAGATAGGCCGTTACTTGCATCTTGTCGAGATCCTAACCGGTCCCAACACCCTTCAGTGGCCCCCAAGGGATCAACGAAGCTATTCATGTGGAACTGTAGAGGGTTGGGTGGACCCTCTACAGTTTCCCAAATCACGAAGTTGTCAAGACTCCACCATCCAAGTTTTGTTTACCTGTGAGAAACAAAAACAAAAAACGTTTTATTAAGACTGTGTGCACAAAGATAGGTTTTAGAGACAGATGGCATGTTGTGGATCCACAAGGATTAAGTGGTGGTTTACTTGTTCTGTGGAGTAGGGAAGTTATTGTCCTACAGATTTAAGTAGCAAATTTTTATTGAATTGGAGGTTGAAGGCTTAGGTGACTTTTGTCTATGCTAGTTCTGATAGAAAGGAGAGGATGAATCAGTGGAGGTTTTTTGAAGCTGCTAGTAGTAAGTGGGGTAATAGGTGGATTTTGGGTGGGGAATGAAATGAAGTTTGTGACTCGAGTGAGAAGTCAAGGGGTAGAACTAAAACTGGGTGGGAGTTCAGAGGGTTTAATGAGTTTATCTCTAGAATGGGGATGCAAGAGTTGCAGCTTGTAGGGCACATTTTTACTTGGGGCAACAATAGGGGGGAAGAAGGGTTTATAGAGGAAAAGATAGACAAGGTATTTGTTTCCTTTGACTGACTTTCATATCATTAGAATGCTCAAGTTTATTGTATTTATAGAAGTTCATCAGATCACAGGCTTTTGTTGCTTAATGATAATCCAAGTAATGTGGAACAAAGGTGCAGAAGGTTTTTCTTTGACAAGAAGTGGCTATAAAAGGAGGGAGTGCTAGAAGCAATTCAGGAAGGGTGGAATTCTTTCCAGACTGGTACTCCAATTCAGGTGTCTGAGAAGATCAAGGCTACTAGACTATTTTTTACTGAAATAGAGTGCCTCTTTCAGATTGGAATAAATTAAGGAGAAGCAGGCAATTACTGAACAGTTTGAAGAGATGAGCACTCAAAGGGATGATAGAGATTGGGGAGAATGGGACTGATTGAGAAGAGATTTAGATAGAATTACAAAATCTGAGGAGAAATTTTGGGCCCAAAAAGCTGGGGCTCAATGGATCAGGGAAGGGGACTCTAACTCTAAGTTATTTTATGCTTTGACTATGCAGAGAAAAAGGGTGAATGTTATAGTCAGATTAGTGGATTAGAGGAATATTGTGTGGGGTAAAAAGAAAGAGGTGCATAAATAGATCTTTGAGTTTTATGAGCAACTCTTCACTTCACAAGGATCTAGAGGGGATGAGGACATCTTGCAGTTGATTCTAGAAACTATCTCCTCTGAATTGAATGCACAACTTGTAGCTCCATTCACAGAGGAGGACATCAAAGAGGCATTGTTCAATCTAGAACCTGGCAAAGCACCTAGCCAAGATGGTATGAGCCCTCTCCTTTTCCAAAAATGTTGGGCTGTTATTAAAGTTGATTTCTGTAATGTTGTGCTTAGTTTCTTTGAGTCTGGGCAGTGGCTTAAGAGTTGGATTCACACTCTAATTTCTTTGATTCCTAAATGTTTAAATCCCTCTTCTTGAAACATTATAGACCCATTAGTCTATGATGGGTGGCTTATAAGGTCATATCTAAAATCCTTACTTTCAGGATCAAACCTTGCCTTGATTGTTGTGTCAGTGAGAACCAAATTGCCTTCATTCCCTGAAGGCAGCTTTTGGATAATGTGGTGATGGCTCAAGAAGTTGTTCATTTTTTTAAAGAGATGTAAGAGTGGGAAGAGAGGTTTCATGGCAGTTAAACTAGATATGGAAAAGACATATGACAGGGTGGAGTGGGGGTGTGTGAGAAAAGTTTTTTTAAGAATGGGGTTTGCTTCCAAATTCGTTAAGTGGGTGTGGGCTTGCTTTCTTTTAAATTTTTTTCTTTCAATCTGAGTGGAGGTGTTTAGGGGATATATTTCAGCTTCTATAGGGATTAGACAAGGGGATCCCCTTTCTCCTTATATATTTATCTTGATTCCTAAGGTTTTCTCTAGATTGTTCAAGAGTGAGGTGGGTCTGGGCAGGTTTCAGGAGATTAAGATTGCTAAGAAAAGCCCTGCACTGTCTCATCTAATGTTTGCTGATGACACATTGGTTCTTTATGAAGCTAATGACTTTCATGCTCATACATTGTTAAATGTGCTCAATAAGTAACATCTTTTCACTGGGTAAATAGTCAATGTAGGAAATCATCTATCTTCTTTAGCAAAAACACTGTGGCTATGCTTCAAAACTCTATTTGTCAGATTTTGAGTCGGATTCAAGTGCATAGATCTACCAGATATCTAGGGCTGCCCCTAGGTATTGGTATATCTAAGAAAGAATCATTTGACTTTGTCTAAATGTTGTCAGATCTAGATTGCTTAGCTGTAAAAATCAACTGTTATCTTGTGCTGGTAAAGAAGTGTTGTTGAAAACTGTGATCAGTGCTCTACCTTTGTTTCCATGTCATGCTTCTGTTTAGCAAGAAGTGTTTGTAAGGAAATAGCAAGACTGTCTGCTAGGTTCTGGTGGAGTAAGGGGGCACAACAAGGTGGGGTTCATTAGAAACAGTGGAAGGTACTGACATTGCATAAGGATGAGGGTGGGTTGGGCTTCAAGGATGTTAAGTTATTCAATGAAGCTCTCATTTTGAAACAAATCTAGAGGCTTGTCACTAACCCTAATCTGTTGGTCACCAAAGTGTTAAAAGGTAAGTATTTTCCTCACAGCTTTGTGCTTCAAGCAATGATACCATATAATGCTTCTTGGTTATGGTGAAACCGGATGGGTGTGATGGACAAATTTGAGCAGTTTTTCATAGTGGAAGTTAGGAAGGGCGGACAAAAAAGCATCTAAAATGATCCATGGATTCCAGACACTGAGTCAGGGATACCAGAGAAAACTATAGTGGGAGTAAGCAAGGTGACTTGGGTGGAGGAGCTGATTCAAGAAGATGGAAGATCCTGGAACAAAGAAGTGATTGAGGAATGCTTTACACAAGATGATAAGGAAGCTATACTGCAGAGACAAACTCTGGACCCTCTACTATTTGATAAGTGGAGGTGGATGCTTGATAATAAAGGTCGGTTTTCTGTTTCTAGCTCTTATTCAGATCTGGTGGTCTTTTTTTTNNNNAATATATTGAAGGGTCAATGCAATTGAGAGTCACCGTCAGGATTTTGAAGCAATTGACGACCATACTTTAGAAGCGAAGCGAGAGTAAAATTAGAGAGATGGATATTGCTGAGGGAAGTGAGACGCCAAATGGGAGAAAAGGGTGAAGGGATGTAGCTGGGCCTTAAAAATTAAACCAAAAGTTAAACACTTTATTTGGAAGAGTTATACTAACTCCCTGCCTGTGAGTCTAAATTTGAAAAAGAAGGGATTAGAGGTGGATCCTAGATGTAAAGGGTGAGGTAAGGAGTTGGAATCAGTGGAGCATTGCTTTTTCCAGTGTATCAAAGTGCAGAGAATTTGGAGGCTTGCTCATATTTGTTGGAATGCTATTGCAGAAATAGGCTCTTTTAAACAGTGGTGGTGGAATGTTTGCTCAGTGGATAAGAGGGGCATTTCTAAAGATAGGATTGAGCTCACACCATACATACTTTGGTGGCTGTGGAAATCCAGAAATCTTTGAAAATTTCAAAATGTGTTTATGCCAGATCTTGCAATATTAAAGTCGGCACAAGGTGATAGGGAAGAGATTAAAAACAATGGAGCTTCAAGGAATGGGCAATAATGAAGGAAGTGGATGTCATGTCCTTTGGTTCAGTAGTAGCCTTTTCTTTCATGTACTTTTTTGTAGTTGTTTGGAACTTGTGTTGTTTGGTTTTGTGAGATTTTCAATGTATTGTTGGGATAGATTGGTGAATGTATTGTTGTGGTAAAGGGTACAGGTTTTCCTGCCTTTATCTCATGATTTAGTAGGTTGCTTTGGGTTGATTTGGGAGTTTAGGCAATCATGTATATGGGCCTCTTGTATGTATTTTCATATTGGGACTATTACGTCTCTCGGCTTGTAAATTTATTTGTGTGGAATTACAAATCTATCGCTTTGGAAAAAAAGAAATCAGTTTATATGTGCCTAGAAAAACATAAAGACGTATTCGACCCACAAAGAAAAAAATACATGAGATGAAAGGAATATTAAAAAATTATGTAGGAAAAACGGGAAATTGAAATACACATCCCTAAACTGCGAAGAAAGATCACCCAAGAGTCCACAAGAAATACCCAGACCCACCGACATGCACGACTCTCATAACGCACCCCTGACTCATCCACAGGAAGGTCCGCGGCGACCCTGGTGAAAATCACAAAAAATAACTGAATGAAGACCATCAATATTGTCGTGCGTAGAAAATTGATTGGTAAAGAAGGCTCAAACCGCCTTGTCGGAGAATATCTCCTCGACCTTCTCCAGGTCGACTACGGGTCTACCAAAGGGTCCCGTTCAATTGGGCGATGTCGGCTCAAACCGCCTTGTCGGAGAATATCTCCTCGACCCTCTCCAGGTACCGACAACGGTGTTGTTCATGCGCGCGCCGAGAACGCCTTCCCCGCATCTGAGGAGCCTGATGACGGAGAACAAGGAGAGTTTGGATACGTCGTTGGATCAAATACGGGCCAAAGGCGGTGAACGGGAGCGAAAGGTGATTGGGGTTAGTTGTAAGGCAGCGGACATTGTTGCTCCTCTACGCAAGAAAAAAAGGATAAACTTTGTTATATTAGGGTTTGGAGGCGTGTGAACTGTCAAGTGTGAAACTCTGAAAAATGTCGTTTATGTTTAATTTCCTAGACTAGACCTGAACGACGTCATTTACATAGAGAAGGAAGAAAAAACGCATCCTACACGCCCCCACAAGGGACACCACGTTTCACGTCCTCAATTAAACTTCACAAAAGAAAAAAAAATAACCACGTGTCAACCATATGTGGACCTTCATTTTTTTTATAGGAATAAGAGAGAGATCCATGAACTGCCCGAAATCGTATAGATTTTAGTGTATACAACCCTAGTAGGATCGCCCAGAAACAGTATAAAGTATACACAAAAATATCTCAACGTGAATCCTATAATTCAGCCACAATTTGATAAGACTCCAAAACTTCAGTGCTTTTACATTAGATCATTTTTATTTTTGTTTTTTCAGATAAGCTAGACATCATTTATAGACCAAGAATTTGTCACACAATCTGCACTTCACTTTTCACTGCAACGTCTCTCTTTTGCCCGGTAGACAACATTACTATTACTTATTGTGCATCATGTGTCCTCAACACAAGTGGCTTCTTTCGCATGGTCCAAAATGCAGCGTAATATCGATTCTGCAGCATTTAGTTTCATAAATCAAAATTGAGGGGTAAGTTAGTAAAGAAGGCATACAAGAAAAATTATCTCACAGGTTCGAGGTATTTTTAAAAAGGAAGACCCAGAGGCTTATGAAATCACCAAAAAAAAAAAAAAATCCCAAGGATTGTAATAATATGGCACCAAATAAAATGAAAACAAACAAATCTTTTCTTGAAAATATTTGTTTTCATTTAGGATTTTGAGTGACATTTTACTGCTTAAAATTCCAGACATTCTATGGTTTTGACTTAAGTTTGATATCCTTAGAAATATCTCAGAGATCTTAAATGAGATTTCGTATGTGTTTTTTTTGCTTTGAAATCCCAGTAAATCTTAAAAAATCCATTTTAAAAAATCCAAACAAATCCATGATGAATAAATGTGAATACCTTGTGTCTTTTTAAAGACTTTGAAATCTTAAATGAATATCCAGCTTTTTAAGACATTGAAATCTCAAACAAATACCAAGATGCTTAACTCAATAAACCGTTCCGAAATGAATGCACCTCCCTAGGCTAATAAAACTAAAGTCTAAGAACAATTCAGGAACCAACAACACAAATTGAATGGCTTGTTTGAAACCAACCACCACTACAAATAATTCCTTAACCAGATTTACGCACGTGAAGCCTATGTCTCGATAGTAAGTCGGTGACTCCTCTGACAATGATTGAAAGTTAGATGGACAATCAGGACTTTAAATCTTTCCTTTTCCAACAAATGACCATAGGCCATGAAACTCAAAC